TACCTGTGGAAGCCAGAAGGGGGCATTAGATCAGAGCCACTGTAGCTGTAGTTACAGGCAACTGGGAGTGTAAGTGCTGCAATTTGAATTCAGTCATCTCTCCAGCCCCATCAACTAACTCAATTGAGACAATTCCTCCACAGACATGTCCACAGACAAACCCAGTATAGTCTCTCTGAGACTGTCTTCCCAGGCGATTCTAGGCTGACAATACACTAGCCCTCCTTAGTTTACTAGACATTGTCAAACGCCACTGTGATAGGTAGTATCAGCTTTCAACCCGTCAGTTTCAGAATCATCTGGGATGTGGGCCTCTGAACATGCCTGGAGGGGATTATCTTTTTTAAAAATTAATGCTTTTACTGTTTAAGGATTTCATACATGTATACAGTGTATTTTGATCAAGTGCACTCCCCAATCCCTTCCCTCCAATTTGTCCCCCAATCTCACCACTATTCTCCCCAATTTAATGTCCCCTCACCCGGTCAACTTACTGCTGCCGCCAGTTCATGGGTATGTGACCATCTACCAGACCATGGGCAGCCTTTAGGGTGCACCACTGAAGAAAACCCCACACTGATACACTATTAGCAACTGATGGTTTCATGAGCCCTCCACAATCCATTCTGGGATTTTGGCTGGCCTCATCTTATGTGGGTCTTGTGCCATAGTGAGTTCATGTGTGCAATGACCCTATCATGTCAGGCAATACTTTGTTGTAGATAGACATTAATTCTTGTCCTTATAATCAGTGTTTCTTCCCCCCCTTCTGAGGTGTCCCTGAGCCCCAGAGGGAGTGAGTGTGATACAGATGGATTATTTTAGTTGGGTTACTTGAAGGGGGAAGAACCATCTTAACTGTTGGCAGGACTGTCCCCAGATGCTGGACTGTATAGGTGGAGAGAGCCTGAGCACTATCTCTATTGCTCCCCTTTCCAGAGTATGGCTACTTTAAGTCCCTGCCTTGACAGGGGCAATGTGCTCTTGAACTGTGAGCCAAATGAAGCCCTCTCTTCCTTACGCGGTGTTTGCCATAGTATTTTTTTTATCACAGTAAGAGGAAATGAATCTGAAACAGGCACCTAGGTGTCTGATGCTGGAGGAAGGAGGACTACCAGCTGTGGGTCCTATCCTGAACCGCATCCTTCTGGAATGACCCATGGTCATTGATGACTGAGGTGGTGATACTGTGACTTGGATGTGGTTCATGTCCACAGGGATCATATATTAAAATTTGGTCTCCAGGGTGGCACTGTTGGGTGGTGGTTGAGCCTTTAAAAAGTGGGGTCTGCCATATCTATTACCATGCATAAAATTCAAGTCCAAATGGATCAAAGACCTCAACATAAAGTCAGCCACACTGGACCTTATAGAAGAGAGTGGGGAATACACTTGAACACATTGGCACTGGAGACCATTTCCTAAATATAACCCCAGCAGCACAGATCCTGAGAGAAACAATTAATAAATGACCTCCTGAAACTGAAAAGCTTCTGTAAAGCAAAGGACACGGTCAACAAGACAAAATGACAGCCTATAGAATGGGAAAAGATCTTCACTAACCCCACATCAGACAGAGGTCTGATCTCCAAAATATACAAAGAACTCAAGAAATTGGGCACCAAAAGATCACATAATCCAATAAAAAAATGGAGTACAGACCTAAACAGAGAACTCTCAACAGAGGAATCTAAAATGGCTGAAAGACACTTAAGGAAATGTTCAGCATCCTTCGTCATCAGAGAAATGCAAATTAAAACAACTCCAAGATTCCATCTTACACCTTTAAAAATGGCCAAGATCAAAAACACTGATGACAACTTATGCTGGAGAGGTTGTGGGGAAAAGGGAATTCTTCTGCATTGCTGGTGGGAATGCAAGCTGGTGTAACCCCTTTGGATGTCAGTGTGGCGATTTCTCAGAAAATTAGCAAACAACCTTCCTCAAGACCCAGTAATACCACTTTTGGGTATATATCCAAAGGATGCTCAATCATGCCACAAGGACATGTGCTCAACTATGTTCATAGAAGCTTTGTTTGTCATAGCCAGAACTTGGAAACAACCTAAATGCCTCTCGACCGAAGAATGGATAAGGAAAATGTGGTATATTTACACAATGGAGTACTACACAGCAGAAAAAAGTAACAACATCTTGAATTTTGCAGGAAAATGGATGGAGCTAGAAAACATTATTTTGAGTGAGGTAACCCAGACACAGAAAGACAATTACCACATGTACTCGCTCATAGGTGGATTTTAAGAATAAATCAAAGAAAACCAGCCTACAAACCACAATCCCAGAGAACTTAGACAACAATGCGGATACTAAGATAGACTGACATAGATCTAATATAATGGGAAGTAGAAAAAGACAAGATCTCCTGAGTAAATTGGGAGCATGGGGACCTTGGGGAAAGGTTGAAGGGGGGAGGGGAGTGACATGGAGGGGAGCAGAGAAAAATGTAGAGCTCAATAAAAAATTAAAAAAAAGTGGGGTCTGTGCCAAGCACTAGGGAGGCAGAGCCAGGAAGATCTTTGTGAGTTAGAGACCAGTCTTATCTACGTAGTGAGGCAAGCCAGTTAAGAATACACAATGAGATCCCATCTCAATATCTCTATCTCTATCTCTATCTCTATCTCTATCTCTATCTAGTCTTAGTGGGAGGTCATTGAGACAGTTGGGAATGTTCCTGAGGAAGGGACCATGGAACCCAGGCTCTCTGGCTCCAACTCTGTGTGTGTGTGAGAGAGTGTAGGTGCATGTGTGTGTGTGTGTGTGTGTGCATGCGTGGGTTTGTGTATGTGTGCACTTGTGTGTGTGGAAGTCAGAGTACAATCTGGGATGTAGAGCCTCGGGAGCTTCACTTGGTTATTTTTTGAGGCCGCATCTCTTGGTGGCCAAAGCTCAACAAGGAGCCTAGGTTGGCCAGGGAGACTTGGGGTCCATCTGTCTCCACCTCCCTAAAGCTCCAATCCTGGGATAGTCTCAGTAGCTCCCTCCCCAATGCCACGGTGCCATGGCCCATGTGTGAAGGTCAGAGGGCAACTGGTGGGAGTCGGTTCTCTCCTTGCACTTTATAGAGTCTGGAGGTTGACCCCTAGTCATCAGACTGAGGGTAAGAGCCTTTACCTGATGAGCCATATATTTGTGTGTGTGTGTGTGTGTGTGTGTGTGTGTGGTTTGCCACACACATGTGTAGAGACCAGAGGACCACTTGCAGGAGTTAGTTCTCTACTTCTGCTGGGTGGGTCCTGGGGATAAAACTCAGGTCATCAGACTTGGCAGAAAGTGCCTCACCCACTGAACCATCTCCCTAGCTCAGACCCTGCTTTATTTATTTATTCCTCTAATGTGGGTTCTGGGAATCAAACTCAGGTCCTTACGCTTGTAAGATAAACTACTTGTGACATACCCCAGCCCCACTGACTTCCAATTTTGATATGCAATCTTTCCTTCCCACACAGGTCCTGGTAAGATTGACACTACAACTTTCTTCAGTCTAAATATGAGTACTCGCCAACAGAGGTCTGTGTGCTAATAGCTTGATCCTCAAGGTGTGCTATTTGGTGATAGACCTTTTAGCAGCAGGGGCTACTGGGAAGTCTTTAGGTCACTGTGGGGGCTGCTCTAGGAAGGGATTGTGTGACTTCCCCTGAGTTGCTCTCTCTGCTTTCCACTCATTCATGAGACTAGTGGTTTGTTTGTACTTCTAGCAAGGGGGCTGCTGGATCTTAGACTGAAACCTCTAGAACCATGAGACAAAAGAAATATTTTCTGTTTATAATTCTGTCTCAGGTATCTCATCATAGTTCTGAGAAGCTAATAAAAGACCTTACTAATGAGCCACATGACCTCAGATTTTGTTTTGGTTTTGGCTGAGACTTATTTTGTTTTATTTTTTGCAATTTTTTAGTTATTTGGAAATTTGTAAAATAATCATATTTATCTCCCCTTCCCCTACTCCTTCCAGATCCCCCTCCTTTTCCTAACCATCTACGTTGTTGTCTTTTCACCAAGCAATATGGGGAGCAGAGAAAGTCCTGTGTGAGTCACTGTGTGCTGCTGACAAAGGTACCGCCATGTCAGGGATGGGCAGCTTAAGCTTCAGAGGGAAGGCAAGAAGCCCTGTGTGAGTCACTGTGTGCTGCTGACAAAGGTACCGCCATGTCAGGGATGGGCAGCTTCGGCTTCAGAGGGATGGCAAGGCCTTTCTTGGGGGAACTAGGTAGGAATATTAACAGCACGTACAGAAATGGCCATCATAGCTTTCTCCCGATGTTTACGGCCTGAAGACTGCTCCCCTACGACGACTGCCCCTATCGAGATTAGCTAAATCTGTCTCCCTGATCAGCTGTATACCATAAACCCTGTCTCCTTATGTGTCTGTGCATAACCACCCTGCCGCCTGGACAGCTGTATGCCACAATCACCTTTATGTATATAACAATCGTGCTGAGATGGGGGATGGGTGCTGTGGTTTCTTCTCCCAAGAGGCCAGAATGCACCATCCCAACTTTTCTGCTCCCTACGGTAGCTGGTGAATTCTGGGCAAGTGAGAGATGCTGTCTCAGAAAACAGCATAGATACTATCCAAATACCGATAGCTGAGGTTGTCCTCTGCTTACATGCACACATAAGCACATGCACACACATACACATATGTACAGAAAAACATATGCTTTAACAAACCTGAGCACTTCCCTTTATAGTGAACCTTAACTCAGATATTTTGTTATATTAATGGAAAATGGATTAATACATCAGATAAACACCATCAGACAAATAAATCCCTGGGGGACTCAACAGTGACATTTTTCTTAAGTAGCATTCTGGGCTTGTCATGAGGACCAGTGTTAAGACCCCAGCTCCAGCCAAGCTCAGGCGGGCTCTGTGAAATAACAGCCCACAAGTGCCTAGTAAAACATGGCACTAAACGAAGTGTACTTGCTGCCAGCATGTTCATTAGCTCCTACCCATCTCAGCCTCCTGATACCTGCCTGATCATCCTCCATTGCTGAGAAGAAATCTGGATTCTCAGGTCTCCAGGGTCCACGGCTACCCTTAGTGGCAGAAGCTGCATCTCCAGAGTCCAAGGGCTGGGCACATGACTTGGACTCAGAGCCTGTAGAGAAAGGGGGATGGCAGGGTCAGGATTAAATCAGAAGGACTGAGGAAGCTCGAATTCTGTAGCTGTCACCGTTTGCCCTGGACAACAGTGTGGTGGTTAATATCGACTGTCAACTTCACAGGACCTAGCACAACCTGGAAGACAAGCTTCTAGGAATGTCTGTGAGAGGTGATCTTAATTACGTTAACCGAGACAGGAAGAGCTGCCCACTCTGGGTGGCACCATTCAACAGGTTGCGGCTCCAAACTAAGAAGGAGAAAGTGAGCCACGCGCCAGCATTCACTGCTCTTTGCTTCCTGACTGCAGCTGCAATGTGACAAGCTGCCTCAAGCTCCTTTCAATGTGCCTTCTCCATCATGATGGACCGCACTCTGGAACTCTGAGCCAGAGTGAACCCTTCTTTTCTTAAGGTGCTGTTGCCTGGCACTTTCTCATAGCAGAGAGACAAGTAATGAAGTAAGTGGAGATGGTAAGAAAGAGTTGAAGTGGAGATCTTAAATGTCTTTGAAGTCAAAGTACCACGTCTTTCCTAACCTTTGCCTGTGGCAGACATTACTAGTCAACCATAGATGCAGCTCTTTCCTGATGAACTATTTGTTCCCAGGAACCCGAGTGGATGCATGATGAAATTGGCTCTGGCAAAAAGTCCTCATTGGATAGATGGCATCAGGTTGAGCACTAAGTCCAGTGTCGCAGGCTGAGCCCTCATCCTGCTGTTATGTTCCGAGCCATGATCTTGGTGTTATACTCTGTGCCTGACCCTCCTGTCATAGTGTCATAGACTGTCCTGGTGTCATAGACTGAGCCTAATCTTGGTGTCATGGTCCAAGCCTTACCCTCTTGTCATAGGTTGTCCCCTAGTCCTGGTATCATAGACTGATGTGGGATTCCCCTCCGTATGCCGTGACTATGTTTTATTACCATTGGTTAATAAAGAAGCTGCTTCGGTCTATGGCAGGGCAAAATATAGCCAGGCCAGAAGAGATATAGAGAGATAGTAGGAGGGGTCAAGGAGACAGATGCTGGAACTTTACCGGTAGGTCACAGCCTCATGATGATACACAGATTAATAGAAATGGCTTAATTTTAAGGTATAAGAGCTAGCCAATAAGAAGCCTGAACTAATAGGCCATATAACGTTGTAATTAATATAGTTTCTGTTATTCTTTCGGCCCCTGCCCTAGCCACGCCCACTCCTTTTTAACCTGTGACCTCCCTCGTCATCGCTCTCTATTTTTTCTGTTCTCTCTCCCGGTGTACACGCGGGGCTTTGCCTCTCTCCTCCTCTTCCCCCCTTCCTCTCTCTCTCTCTCTCTCTCTCTCTCTCTCTCTCTCTCTCTCTCTCTCTCTCTCTGTCTCTCTCTCTCTCTCTCCCTTTTTCTCTCTCCCTCTTCCTTAATAAACACTTATGCCTATTTTTGTGTTTACGTGTCTGTTACCCTCCGCCACAGGCCGCTTGGCGCTTGTTCACTGGGGACCCACCGAGTTTGCTGCTGCTCTGTGAGCCTGCCAGGTGGGAGGAGCCCACCATATTTTTAGGAATAAGATTGGTGCCACGTGACTCCCGAACCGGGTTCTTTTCCACTTCACTGGCCTACGACCCACGTGTTCCATCTGCCTGGACACAGCTCCTCCAAACAACGAATCAACTAATAGTGAGTGCCCCCATCTTGGCCAGCTTAACCATCTCTTTTAACCCAAGGGATTGACCGTTGAGCTCCCGGCAACCCTTCACGGTTTTTAGGGATGGGGGGACCTTAACCACGGGCCTTCAGGGCCTCAGTTGTTCCCTTCGCTGGCATTCAATTCGGCTTGTCTCCTGTGTTAAGCCTGTGCCTGGGATGGCATTGCCTTAGCCAGCCCCTCAGCTCACCCGCGCCTGGAGGCCCGGGGTCTCCAGTTCTTCCTCTTTTTATTTTTTCATTCCTTTTCTTCCTCCTTTTCATCGTAACTAAGCTGCTTGGTGCAGCACGCCGCTACGGTGCGGCCTGACCTTGGCTGAATCCCTCCTGCCTGGAGGCTCGAGTCGATTCAGCTAGGTTATAACACCCCCCACTTATGGAATCGGATGCCTTTTCATAGGGCCTGTGGGTGTTCGTGCCATCTGCATCTCGCCTTAATGGGGAGCCGTTCTCGTTGTAGGCTTGAGGTGCCACAGTTTTTGCGGGTGTTTGCACGGCCTTGACCACGGGAGCCAAGCCATCCAGACCTATCACTCCGGCCTCATGCTTTAATGCCTTATACTTCTCTGTCTCTGTCCAAATAAATGGCCCCATTAAAACTATACATGGCCGTTTTTTGGTTCCAGCCTTTTGCCCCTCCCCTCTGAGGCTTTTGTTGTGGCATGGCGGGCTTTCCAACGGAGCAGACTACACGTGGCGGTTGCCATCTTGGCTGAGGGCTAGATCACGTGACCTCACTCTCCTGGTTTTAACCTGCCTCTTCACTCAGTTTTCACTAAACTCCTCATGCTAACTCTGTTAAATGTGTTTTGAGCAATGGTCAAATGCCTTTGATAGGGCCCGTCAGAGGCATGCACGTTGCCCAATTCTTGTTCACTCTCTCTATGTATAATAATTGTTTATTACATCTCATTTCAGACTACAAAACATGAGTCTTGTATTTTAAACTGGTATGTACCTGTAAGTCTCTTAAGCTGTTCTCTACCATTGTCAGTTTTGCCGCTAACCTTATATTTCAAGTAGTTTTTCCCTCTATCTTTTTACAAATGTAAATCTTACCTGTTGAGAGCCAGTGTGGTCAAGCTCAGACCCAACTTTCCAAACAAATTCTATACTATAGTTATCCCTGATAAACAGCCCTCAACTGCTCAGCGATCTGGGGAATATGATATTTAAGTATTTAATTATTAAAAACTTTTCACAACAACAAAAAAGAGACAGATTGGCTCCTAGCAGTAGCTCTCTGCTCCCTCCAAAGAAGACAGAAGACAGACACGTGCAGAACAACGTCCTTCTGCATCTCGCTTCGACTGCAGAGCGCTGACCATTGGGAAAACCTGCCTTTCGTCTAAAGTAAAGACCTCTCTAGATGTGGACGGAATCGCTGGAATTGACAGCCTAGCTGCTCAGGTCAAGGTAGGCCTGTCTTCCTACAGATTTCTTAGCCCACAGGATCTTCTGGAGCCTGGCAGGCCCTGCGCTAAACAGCAAAGCTCAAGTGCAACCTTCAACAACCATGGGGAATCCAAAAAGAGTAGCTCTGGGTGCCAACCAAGTAAGTTCTCTGTCATTTTTTAATCAGTAACTCAAGTAAAATCTTATACTTCTCAAAGATCTCTGACAGTTTGACAGCTGAGAGGTTTCGCCAGGTTGAGGTTTTGCAAGGTGATCTCACCAAACAAATTTCAAACCAAATTTATCTCTTATGCTACAGTCATTATATATGTCTAAAACTTCTGTTTTCACAAACCCAAGGAGCTCTCACGAGTTCCAGGGAGCCGAATTAAAGAATCCACCTTAAACACGTCAGATACATCTCCCATAATTCCCTGGTCCTAAATATTTTTCCCTTAATTTAACTTTGTTCTTTGTTCTGCCAATACCTTAGGCCATGCCACAAACACCGGTCAAAAGCAAAGAGACCAGCTGTGCCAGGATGTTCCCAGCACCCCAGCCTTCTCTCGCGCCCCCCCAAAGACGACACCCACAATCAGCCGGAAGCAGTCTTGAGAATTCGCGGCCCCAATTCCTTCAAACTGGAGCGTCTAATTTGCTTTTTTATTAAAAGCAAGATGTGGGAATGTTATTCTTTCGGTCCCTGCCCTAGCCACGCCCACTCCTTTTTAACCTGTGACCTCCCTCATCATCGCTCTTTGTTTTTTCTGTTCTCTCTCCCGGTGTACACGCGGGGCTTTGCCTCTCTCCTCCTCTTCCCCCTCTCTCTCTCTCTCTCTCTCTCTCTCTCTCTCTCTCTCTCTCTCTCTCCCCCTTTCTCTCCCTTTTTCTCTCTCCCTCTTCCTTAATGAACACTTATGCTTATTTTTGTGTTTACGTGTCTGTTACCCTCCGCCACAGGCCGCTTGGCGCTTGTTCACTGGGGACCCACCGAGTTTGCTGCTGCTCTGTGAGCCCGCTGGGCGGGAGGAGCCCGCCATATTTTTAGGAATAAGAGTTTCTGTGTGATTATTCAGGTCTGGGCTGCCAGGAAACGAATGAGCAGTCTCTGCTTACAATAGACCAAGACTCATCTTAGTTTTGTATGCTAATCCCTCATCTTGCTGTCATATGCTGAACCATGGTCTTGGGGTCATAGTTGTACCTGGTATCACAGACGATATCAGTTTCCTTTTCTGATGCGGTGGGAAAAACCCCGACAAAGAACCTTAAGGGAAAAGTGTACACTTTATCTCACTGTTCAAGCTTCACCAAGTCAGCAAAGCCAGAAGCAGAGAGCAGTGGACGCTTGTGCTTAGCTTACGTTCTACATTTATATAGTCCCCTAAGCCCAGGAGATGGTGCTGCCTTCTCTTAGGCTGGCTCTTCCTGCATCAGTTAATCCGACCAAGATAATTCCTCGTAGGTGTGCCCAGATACCCACTTCCCAGGTGACTACAGATTCCATCAGGTAGTATTAACTACCTATCAGACAGGTTAAGTCCCATCCTGGTGTCAAAGACTAAGCCACGATCTTGGCCTCATATGGCATGTCTCATTCTGTTGTCAGGTTTAGCACTGACTCAAAATGTCACAGACTGAGTCCCCATCCTGGGATCATATACTGAGCCATTGTCTTGGTGTCGCAAGAACAAGATCTATCCTGGTCTCATAGACAGAGCCATGGTCACGGTCATACAACATGCCTCATGCTGTTCTCAGGTTAGGTGCCGGTCTCAGTGTCATAGACTGAGCCCTGGATGTATAAGTAGGTGGGTGAATGTGGTGTATGGGTTTTTGGTTGAATAGATGGAGAGATGATTAGAAGAGTGGATGGGAGTTTGGGGAGGATGTGAGTGGATTTTTAGCTGGTTAGAC